GGGCAATCAACGTAAAATCAATGAAATCCGAAAAACAACAAGCACACCGAAATCGAGATGGGTATTATGTCACAGGAACCATTTGTCTCCCAAATGGCCACATTATATTAGAGATTACCGAGATATCGCATTTGTACTTGAACATCTTAACACATACACACTTACCGGTAATAACACAATTTCCTATTTAATGATTGATGTATCGCGTTCAGATTAAATAGGGAAACGAATTTTTAAAATCGATTTTCAAAAAACGGTTGACATCTGTCAGCGACGACGCATTGTCGTGAAGTGTAGTTTTTGAGAATAATAACGAACACGTGTGAGTGTGTGTATGTATGAAAAAAAAAAAAAAAACGTTTAATTGAGTGACATTTTTGTTTTTAAATAACACGTATTTAATGTACTTGCCCAAATTTGACGTAAACTAATTAAAGGTTGTACAGCAAGCGTCACTGCTGTCATATAGTCATCACAAAAAATAATACATACATGGACTGTTATTAAACGGTTATGGAGTTATCGATAAGCAATAACTCGTCCCCTTGCGCATATTAAGTAAATAATGACATACCGAGACAAGTATTTTTAATCCGTTAGAGTTCGATTAAAATTAATTTAAACATACATCGAATACAACAAATATTATGCGAATTACATTCAAAATCTTCTGAATAATATATAGTCTTTACATAGTAATGTTACACAGTTATAATTATTATTATTATTATTATTATTTAAAATCTTTTTTATAGATTACTGGGCCTCACTGAGATAACTCGTGTGGAGGCCCAAATAAATAATTCATTCCTTTTATTGACCGTTATGTTTTTCTATGTAGAGACTTCATTCACAACCCGATGATTTTCTACGAAACTAATAACATTCACAATAGAAATAATTCCTTCTATGTCATGAATTTGGTTTCATAAAACGATTGCATATGAGCTCACTGGTATATTGCCACTTAGATTTTTTATGTCACCGCTGAATCAATGTTCTTTCAAACGACTTTTTAATGTGAATTCTTGATTTTATGGGCCGAGATCGTTTTAGCTGCAAGATGAAATTACCTGTCAAAATATTTATGATTGTTCCGTGAAACGAAAAACTTGCAACTGAAGAAACAAATTATTACTTTTTTACAGCATAGGTAATAAATATTTTATCACCAACGTAGTAAGATTTCAGATTTTGAGTGAAACGTGATAAATATGTTCATTTTACAATGATGGTCTTACAATATATTCTGTAATAAATCTGCACCATAGGTTTTCTTTGTCGTAATTGTTAAGTATATTATTGTGTTCAATATATTAGTAAACTACAAATGTATAGTATAATCGATAAGCTTTTATCACCTATTGAATGTTTTAATATTCCATAGCACAATATTTTTATTGTTAAGTAGTAGATATATTACTGGTGGAGTTAAATTTAAGCAAATCGAGGAGTGGTTTAAATTTTATTAACTCATTGTTACACATTCAATAATAAAGTACCGTCCAAGGATATGCTGAATCTTGTGTTGGATTGTAAACTATTTAATTAGCAAATTGTTTTCTACAGTTGCTTTGAACTAACAATAGGAAAGGTATTAAAACGTTTATAATAGTTTTTACAGTTTTCAACCAGATATTTATATTTTCAATTAAATAAAAAGGTCATTAATTTCATTTTAGGTTTTGAGGAAAACAAAATAACATATTAGTTTTACTACGGTGCTTATTACTTTAGATACGAATGTGTTTTAAAAATGTCTTTATGTAGTTATGTTAATACATATAGAGCAAATTAAATACTATATCTCACATAAGAAACAATTTTATATCAATCCAAATGTTTAAAAATTATGTTTAAAAAATTGCATGAATTACAGAAAAAAAATTATTAAACAATAAGGATGATGTAAATAAGATTTTTGTATCGATCAAAATGTTATTCGTAATTATTTAAATTAAAAAAAAAAAATTGCTTAACCTTATGTTACATCGTTTTTCATTAAATATATTAGTTTTTAGTTATCATTGACTTCAAATTTCTAAATGCATGCTCTAATAATAAAAATATAAACATACACTCAACATATATACATCGAAATGTAACAAATTTTACTATTAATCCATTAAAAGAAGTATATATTATTTAATCAGCTGTAAAATTATTAAATTTTCTTTTTTTTTATAGAAACTATGTGTTTCACTTAAATATTAACTTAAATACAATTTTTTTTATTGCAATAAAATGTAATTTTTACAAATTCTTTTACTTTTTATGTGTATTCAATACTACTTACATGACTTAATTATATAGATATACTTAATATAACTTAAGGTATAGTTTTGTTTACAATATGTTCTAGATTAGTTGTTGGATTAGATCCTTTTTGGACTCGTGTCGTAATCATAAAATATTTTACAGCCCGCATTCATGAAATAAAAAATATTTCATGTGCCTAATAATAATAATAATAAGACTATTTTTATTTTAATTAGTATGATTAAAAATGCTGCTATATTTATTTAAAAGTTTATAAATATAATACTAAGTATACTGTTATTAGTAAATTTGATGAAATTAAAATACATAAATATGTTAAAATTACATATAAATGGAACAAATAGTAAAAAATAAAAATTTTAATGGGATTTTTATTAATGAGTATTATTTATAATATTTTCAACTTCAACATCAAAATTACTCATATGGAGAAATGGACATGTGTTAAGCGTATCGACAGTTGTTTTTAATTTTCCGTGTAATAAAAGTCATATTCATTCACGTACGTAGATCTAAACATGATCAAGTATTTTCTAGCTATATTTTTTTATTTTTGAAAACGACGAAAAAAATTCGGCAAAAAAAATATTTAAATGCAAAGATATTATGTAAATTTAAATTTATTATTTCCTTTTGAATCTCAACAAGAACATCATTATTATCAAAATTCTATATGTCTATATATGTCTATATGAAATCTTATAAGCGTTTATGAAATTCGAATCTTGTAGTGTCATTATCTATTCAAGTACTCCAGCTCTATTTCACCAATAACTTTGAAATTACGAATGATTCATACCATAGATTCGTATAAAATTGATAATATATATATATTTATTAAATTTGTCATTCCCACAATAATATTTTACGTAAAATGCATGTTGATGAACAATTCAATGAAAAAATAATTGTAGTAACATTTTTTAAAATTTAATTTCATTAAAAATAAACGTTATATTTTACTTTAGTTTAAGAATCTTAACGTTGTTTTATATTGTATTCTTTAATTATAGAAATTAATTCATGACAAACGAGGTACATAATTCTCCTTTATTTTTGATAACCAAGTATTGATCAACATTCCAAATCTATTTTTCGTTTTTTGCTAACTACGGTTACTAGTAAGTAAATACTAAATACTAACATTCGCTATTATTAAATTAAATTATCTTTCAAATTAATACTCAGCACAATACTGGAATAACTTTGACTCAACTCAACAGTTGTAGATGTTACTGGATAAACAAATAGGCATCATAATCGAAAACCAAGTTTAGAACTGCAATAGTTACAGGTAAGATTATGTCTATAGTATACACATGTATGTATCAATATTCTAACATTTAAGAGCCTATTATATTTTATGGTTGCTGATAAAATAAATATACTTTAATAAATTATTATTTTTATTTTTATAGAACACTTTTGAGATTGTAGTCAATTGATATAAGACATCCAATTTAATTGCATCAATGTAATATTTAATGTGAGCCATATTGAATGAACCTATGGGCCGTATTCACCGGTTTCCGACCTTTGTCTTAGGTAATAAGAATTACTTTTAACTTTTATGAGGTGTAAATAAATTTCCATTTTCTATATTATATTCTAAATATAAATAAATTTTACTATTATATCCAATATCTATTCATAAATCGTTCATAAATCTTTTTATGAAAATGTACACCTCCATTACATTTTGGCTAATGATTATTTATTGTGTATTTTTTCTGTGTACATATTATGGTACTTAAAAGCTTAAAATTTGCTGAATTATAACTATTTACACATTTCATTTAATATAGATATTTATTTATTCTATGACCTAAAATATTATGTTCGGAAATTATATATTTGTTTTTTCGGATGTTAAAGTTTGTTAATTTGCCTTTTAAATAGTATAAAATACAAGAATAATCAATATAATTTAAAAATAAACATTTAAATAGTAATAATAGATTCACACGAATACTTATATTTTAAACAAATAATTTTATTACAAATAGGGTCGGATAGTTAAAAGTAAAAAATAAATTTTTGTGTTCAATTCACCCACTTTTGATATTTCGGCATAAACCTTAACGAGCAAATTATATAAATTATTGATGTATGACGCGCGTGACCTATCAAACTGTCAATTCCATACAACCGATATTAAATTCGTGAAAAAAGTGACGCATATGCGTAAAATTCATAGACAACATATTATTATTAATATTAATATTATTAAACACACAAATGTTTGTACAGAACAGTAAACATGTTGATGGAAATAATAAAGCATATTTGTTTTGTATATTATGGAAAATCGTTTAAGTAGAAGTACACAAGTACTTGTGTATCATATTATATATACAGGGTAGTTGCATTGCTTTCTGACATTTACTAAACATACAATACGTTACACTTTTATCCCGACGTTTTAGGATGGTGTTTAAATGAATAACTAATTTCCAATATGGAACTATGGCCATTATCTGTTTGATGTACGCTTAAAATATTACAGGTGGATATCACGTGGAATAGTTACAGTCATAACAGAATTTTTACTGCGGGCTATGTGAAAGGTTTTCAAAACCTCCTGTATATTCTAAAATCACTCGACTAATCCGTATTTGTTTTGATATAATATCGTAGCTGACAGGTTGCAATCACGTCGGAAACACCTGAAATAACACCATTGGAATAACGCCTAGCGAAAAACAGTATAAAACCCGTAGACTTAGGGTTGAAAATCAATTTTCGAATTTTTTGCAGTATCTACAGTTAAAAACATTGGTATACGCAAACATGGCTGTTAAGTTATCAGTTTTCGCTCTCGTTCTGGTACGTATGATACTTAAGTAACTTCATTGTTGTAGATCACGAAATCTTTAGTACAACAATAATAATTATGTACTACTCTATAGGATTGTTTTACTTTTTAATGTATTGTGATAAACTATAGTAAATTAACAGCTAAAGTTTAATTATTTTAATTAAACTGTTGATTAAATGTTTATTTATATTTTAAAAATGTTTATTTATTGTAAGCATTCGAAAAATTCTCAAATTCGTTTTCAGAATTAAATTTCTACAATATATATTAAATTATTTTTTAAACCATTTATAATAATTTGTAACATTTAATCTATATTATATATTTTAACTTCCAACTCATTTTTTCCATTTGATTACTGATGATAATTAAATTACGAAATTGTATTAGCATTTTCTTCGTAATCGACCATTGAAAACTAATTGTTGTTAAATTTTCAGGTAGCAGCTTTTGCTATAGCTGATGTCCCAACAACTTTAGTTTTAAATTCACCTTTGAACTTGGCATACTACCCATCGGACTCGATAGCTTACAATGATTTGAAGAAAAGCTTGTACGATTTAGTCTTAGCAGCAGGAAATGCTTGTTTCTCGGCGCAAGCGAGCTACGACTACTACAGTTTCTTAAAATACCAAGGTGTTTATCAACCAAAACTTAACGAAAAAATAGCGAAGTTACAAAATGCTGAACAATACTTGAATGATGCTTACGCCAAATACCAACAAGAATTGGCCAAATACAAAAGTACCTTAGTGTGCCCAACTCCAACTGTAACGTTGGATGATAATGTTGAAATCAGGAGCGATTACCTTTGATTGTATTTCTGATATTTTAATTATTTGTGAAAAATGTTTACAAAACTAAATCAAACTCAATAATTGCTGTGCTTTTTAATAAAATCATTATGTTGAATAAATGATTTCGAACGATTTACGTTAATGTATTTTAATTTTATTATTTTATGTGTTTTGTAAGAATACTATTAAATGAAAATAACAAGAAAACATTTAATTGAACCAAAATAAAAATTTGAATAAAAATCAAAAAATTTAATATTCACATTTACACCATTAATGTTATGTCTATTGCATCATACTGCTAATTAAATTGTATGAAATTCATAATTTCCAATAAAAAAAAATTATATTTCATGTTTTTTTTTTAGTTCTAAGTGGTAACATTTAATATACAATATTAAAAAATAAAAAATAAACTGACATTTTGATATATCCTGTATAGTATCTATAGAAACAGACACATTCTTTTGTTCCACTTATATCAGCAATTATATATACTTTTATAGACTTGGTATCATTATGTTTGGGTTTTTGTTCTTATAATGAATCAAAATATACATTTAATAAACATCATATACACTTAATATCAATAGTGGAATAGTAAAAATTAAAACTAATTGTACTTTAAAAATATTTACTTCAACTATGATGATTAATAAATAATGACTTGTAGAAGTTAGAAAAAAAAATAAATTATGACATCAGAAACATGGTGGACAATTTGTCAATACTGGTCACATTCGATCGTAATAAGTAACTTCATTATTATCATTGCCATTATGAACAGATTCAAGTAATTTAACTGTATAATAATTATAATATTTACATCACGTAGACTCATATGATTGCTTAGACGAATAATATTTTACAACTATCTAATCAAAGTAAATAAACATTATGTACATAATAAATTATTATGTGATAACTAACATTCTGTAATTATTGTATTATACTACAATTATAATTATAATAAAATGAAAACAAATAATCAACATTAAATTTTATTTATTTTTAATTAATGGTCAAATGGGTTTATACAGTTGCGCTCACTAATTCACAAAATGACTTTCCAATCATATTACTATTAAGGATGATGGTCATAAAATGAGTATACAAATCAAATAAATATAAACCATCGCATCTAAAGAAATATTTTAAAAGAGCTAATGTGATTTACTAACCGAAAAAAATAATAATTATTAATATTTATTAACGCTATCAAATTAACCGTTTTAAAACTTGGTAAAAAAAATAAGAGTGAACCAAGATTTTCTATAGTAGAAAATTAACCTAAACTCGCATATTATTTGTAAATCTTAAAATACAAAATATCTCATTTTATCAAAAGAAATACGGGATACCTCCTGATTTTCGAATTGAAACAAAATCATACCCAAGTTATTTTTACGTTTTTCTTTCATACCATAAAAAAAAATCCTTGGAAATATTTAAAAGAAATCTTCCCATTTGTTCGAACCTAAAATTAATTGTATTAAACTTTTCGTGCAGATTTAATAAATTGATTATCACACCGCTATTTAATTATTTATAAAAACATTTATACTTTAGATAGTTAGAGTAACGCATTAAAATGTTACGGTGTGTACCTTGTTACTCCGTTCGTCTGACCTTTAAATTCTTACAATTAATTAACACGTATTACAGTGTATATTATAAATAATCTGTTAAAACTATCGCGTAACCTAACCAGGTATCGCCTAACCATACGCAACGACGTCGACCACTGTGGAGGAAAAATACAAAATTTACTTTTTTACCTATTAATATTAACAAAATCGGTTTTCCTTGTTAACTAAGTTTTATCGAAATAAGTTTTTATGTTGATCGATAGTCACAAACTAAAAACTGTTAAAAAGGTAACGAAAAAAAAAAAAACAGTTCATTGAAGTGTTCATATTTTTATTTTTAGACATAGCTTAGTAATAGCGTTAAAATGATATGAATCACACCAAAATGCCAACATTATTTTACATTGGATATTTAATTGACCTAGCAATCAATACGATATTAACAACTTAAGCGCTGAATTAAAAATAAAACAATATTATGTTATATTATATGCTATATTATAGCAGTTATTGATTAAAACATAATTAGCCAGAAACACTATTATTATTTAATCGCTTATTTCAATATTATATGTTTTGTAGTGTAAAAATTATACTAAATAACATGTGAAAAAATTGCGTTGAAGCATTCAAAAATTAATTTAAATATAAAAATAAAGTCTTCATATGTATTTTATATTCGTTTTGAAACTCATAATAAAATAATTGAGACATATATAATTTTATTTTATAATGTTTTTTTCGTCAAATATTTAATGTTCAATAGGTACTTAAACAGAGATTTTCGACACTGAAAAAAAAATTCATTCGTATTGAATATGACGTTCAACTGTCATTGAATATTTTGTTTATACATATTATAGCGTGTTTCCATTAAACTACAATCAACATGTATATGCATTATATTACAATTAGGTTGGTTTTACAATACTTATAATCATACAAAAAGAACAATATTATATTAAAAATTATATTTTCTGATAGATAAAGAATATTCTTAACAGTAAAATATTAAATGTGATTGCATAGTTGTTACTTGAATGGATAAATAATATACACTGAACAAACATTAAAGTATGTATCAATGTCATAATATTTACTTCGAGTACATACATTTTTTATTTTATTTTTTGACTTATCAAATATTTATTTCACCTACGTCAACAGATTGAAAAGATCAAACACAGTAAAATCGTATATATATTGACAAAATATCAAATATTTTAATCATTTAAAACTTCTATATACATTTGTATCATTTGTGGAAACGCGACTAAAAATGGCTTTGAAGGAATTTGTTATATTCTCCAGTTTGGTGGTATGTATTAAATATATATGTATATATATATATATATAACTAATATTCAGTTTAGAAATAATATTTTATTTAGTTCTCATTCTTCGATAATTCTTACTACAAATAAGTGTTATAGCTAGTCGGTGCTTTATAAACTATTAATCATGAAATATTTTTCTATACCCGAAATCAATAAATGTGAAATATTAAATTAACTTATTGCTATAATATAACGGAAAAATCTCTACCGAAAATTATTATTTGTATGATATCATACATTGATTTAATTTAAACATTAGAAATTTAGTGGACTCGTCTAAAATTAAACCATATCTACTTACATGCTACTACGTGAACGATCGTACTAAAAACTTAAAAATTCCTATACTACTAAATTATTGCAATAGTCAAAAACAATATTTAATAGAAATATATGGATATTGTACATAACACTAAGTGTATCACATTACGAACACCTAATAATACATTTTCAATTATTATTTTATTTTTAATAGTTATTTACTGTACCTAAAGTATGAATGTGTCATGAAGTATTTTTTTATTCCCATTAAAATGAAATAAAAAATTAAAATATACGCATAAGTTGTATGCTAAACAAAATTTCATCGGCAAATAATCTTATTTTTTATTAAAAAAAAATGGACATTGGTCTATAGATTTACGGATATTTTATAAAGTATTTCTTGCTTTTATTATAAACAAAAGTATCATATTTAAATTAGTAAATATTAAAATGATTTAACAATAATTTTCTTTTACTGTTTACGAAAAAACTATAAATCATTATCTAAGTCCAGCCGTATACTTTATTATTATTATACTTAATTATTTTCTCCCTGAAAAATAGTTTGCTTATACAATTTGATAGAATAACGATATTGATTTAGATACTAAGTTAATATATTTATTTTTTTACTATGTTTTATACAAGGACCAACAAGTTAATTAAAACGAAATATTAATTTTTATTCTTTTTTCTTTTTTGAATTTAATGAATTTTCTTTATGTATTTAATTTCAGGCGATTTCCATCATCAACTCTAATATACTTGGAAGTGAAGCGGTTGTCCCACCCAAATCATACATGGATCAACAATACACTCAAATGAAGAGAGATTTGTATGACATGGTTGAGCGTTTATTCAACTTGATGAGCGATGTGCAAAAATTACAAGACATGCAATCAGAATATTTGGAATCAGACGTGGACTTCTCTGCTGTTGCACGTGCAAGCAAAGAAGTGACTCAAACCCAAAACCAATTAATTTCTAAAGTCATGCAATACATATTGGATTCAGATGCATACTTACCTGGATACAAATACATCTACCCAGATTTGGGCAACCCAAATAGTCCCTACAACCCCAATTTTGTCACCCCAGTTATGGTGCCATAAGAGTTCTTGTAATTTTATATTTGTTTTCAATTTTTGTTATTTGTTCTCGTTTTTTTGAAATCAAACGTAATTGATTTAAATTAAAATAAAACAAATGAATCAGCATTAATACCCAACCACGTTTTGTTTTAATAAGAACATACCTAGAAAATCATTTCAAATTATTGAGTGTACAACCCTCACAGAATTATATTACATATAAAAATCATATTACAAATAATTATAATTTTTCAAAATATAATTGAATTATACACAAATGCTTATATTTTATTTTTTACTGAAAACAATAAAAAAATATGAGAAAAATATAAAAAAAACTATTAAAAGCGTATTACGTATCATAGTATTTAATTATTATTGATAATTTATAAGATGAATTTCATATTATCACACGAATATATTAATGAATAATGATATAACTTTCCATTTACAAAATATATTTAAACAGTAAAATTTTAATTTACATTCCATATAAGTACTATATATACGAAAGTAAAAAATTGTTTGGAAAATGTTTGCATACAATGGAAGTTTGAACACGCATACTTATTTCCACGTGATGATAAATTTAGAAATTACAAAATGATAAGTGATATATTTTATAATATAATATTTAATATAGGTACATACATAAAATATAAATATGTTTAATAAATAATCAATAATTGTATCATTGTTACATGTTTAAACGCCATTTTAAGCACCTGGCAATCATATTTCAGTATTTTCTAGAGTAAAAATATAGATTTTCATCGGACATGATAAATAGCAAAAACGCATTGTCGAGCACTACTTTTTTAATATAGTAATGGTGGCAATATTATTGGTATTCAATTTACTTTTATTGGCTGGGTTTTTCCCTCTGGTGTATTTCCTATTAAGATGTTTGTTAGTGATCTAACTTTCTACTTGTCACCACTGATTTACATAAAACTATTTGGAATTCAGGAATATAATAGTAGGTGTTTATGTTTGAGGTCAAGGCCATTGTAACACGTGCCATTTTAAATAACTACGTACACCAAAAATGTATACTGAGAATTCGAATCTTTATATGTAAAACACAAATTTACGAGCTACTCATATAAACATTTATAGATTTATTTTGTTATTTAGTTTATTTTTTATATATTTTTTTTTTATCTTTATTAATTATTTTATATTTTCACATGATAATTTAGCATACTCGTACTAAATATTAACAATAAATGGTGGATCAAAAAAATAAAAATATATAAATCAGCGCAGATACCTCTATAAAATAATAAACTATATAATTAATGAAATATGAACTGAATAATATTGTAATTAGAGTATCGATTGACACCTGTAATTTATAGTAAAAATATGCTGATTGTTTGAATGTACAGACAAAAAATGTAAATTATAAATTTTTTATTTAGTTATTTAGAAACTACAATTTTTTTGTTAATTCAAGCAAAAAAACATCTAGTGTAAGCCCGATAATCGTCAAATCTAAATTAATAAATGCTACACAAAAGTTTTTTCTGTTTTCTTTTTTTATTTTTTACAAAATGTGTTATGTAATAAAATCGATTATTCAATTTATTATTAATATCAGACTATGGCTTAAATTTAATTTTGAGTGAAAGTTATATTGTATTTTGATTTTATGAATTAATTTGAACATTTTTTTTACAAAATTAAACACAAGTTTTAATGGTAATATATAAAGTTATTTTTAGATTATTATTCATTTTACTAGCATTTAAGGCAAAACTTATCGATTTGTTTTTCAAATATCAATATTATAACATGTAAGCAATTATACAAATAGAGTTATTAGCATAACTAAAACTTCGATATGTTGTTTTTAAAAATCAACTACACTAGCGAAGCGGTACCTTAATATATAATGTGTTGTACTAAATATTAACTAAATTCAACAAAAAAAAAAAGCTAAATCAATCTAAGATACAACAATATACTAAAAAATAAATAAGTTTCATATTAAATTCGTGGTTTAATATAAAACTAAGTCACTTTTATTTAAAATTCCATTCCATGTAAAAATGATCGAATACATTATTATAGAGTCCATGTGATACATTTTAGAAAATGTCATCACATGTGTAAATTACAGTAGACATGACTAAAGTTATAGAGATATATATCCACCCCTTATATATGTTAATATTCTTCAATTTCCGGACTTGTAATATAAACTGAATAAATAATGTGTCTAGAATATAAATATGTTTTACTTTCGTAGAATATGTTTGAACATTTATTTATCGCAACATTATATTTTCTAGATGTTTTTGTTATTGGCGTTTTATTTTAAAATATCATCATCTCAAACGACGAGTTTAAATTCAATAATACCTATGATATGTGTAACATAATACATATTATCAAATTATAGGTAAATGTTCATCAAACAATACAATCACACCATATGGAGAAAAAATATAACTATTTTTAAAACAATGTGAAATCATTTATTTTTAACCATACTTCTATTCCAATCGATTTCGAATGGTAATGCTTAAACAGTTTAAATGTAAAACATATTCGAATGAACGAACACAATTTTTAAATAATTTGATGAATTTATATTATTCACTTAAAAATCCTCATAACGTCATAAACTTCGATGCTTACCCGGAACACACTCACAAAGTTGCAATATATTCATATATAGGTTACATTTGTTATTCTAAGCCATCTTCCCTACATAGTTAATCCATCTCCAATACCTTAAAATTATACTATCGGCTCAAAAATAAGATTAATTCAAAGGAATAACCCACTTATATTGAATTTCTCTCGAGTTAAATATTAAAAAAGAATGTCGAAAAGATTTAACAGCACACGACTGTTTTCATATTTTTTTCCAACGGATGATTTAGTTTCGCTGTATTTATGCAACAGATTTAAGGAAATTCTTGTTTATGTTAAATTGATTTGTCAGATTATGCTACTACTACCTATGTATCAATATACATGGTATACATATACGAAGGTCTGGAGGAATATTGACAGACACCGGTCAACACCAAGGCGCGTACTGAAACGTATGACGAGTTTTGACAAAACATAACAGCTTATCTTATATACACAGAAGAGTGTTTATAAATATGGTATTTGATTTTTAATGTCCTTCCCTCATGTAATAGAGCATTATTGAAAAAAAAATGTAATCGAATTTACATAACTGTTCATTAAGAGGGTTGTACAACAATACAGATCGCTTTAGATAGAGCCTCTGTTCCCGTATAAATACGTTACTGATAATACATATGCATGATCATTCACCACCAATCATGGTCGGCTTTCACGATTGAATTTCAGTGGAGTTTTGACAAGGAAATCTACAACCTAGTGTGTTCCCGAAAAAGTTTATTAATACCTCTGGAAACTATTTTAAATATAAGAATAGATATTTTTTTTAATACCTACTTATTTTTCAGTTATTATAGTTTTTTTATTGTAATAATATGCGTAACGTAGTCCCGTCCCCCCCCCCAGAAAAAAAATTTTGAATACACCACCGATGTTAGCGATGGAAAAATGTCATTATCACGCAATCCATAATTATTCGTCCGAACCGTATTTGCGATGATATTTATTTTTCACTCGTTTCAAAATCGCTAATATTCACTGAATATTGATTCATTTTTCACGAACGCTTTTAACTACAAAAAAAGTATCATAATTTACCAAAAGTTATCCGACATTTATCACGGTTTTTAATTTAACAACATTTTGTTATGTATCCACGTTGTTTATCGATGGTACACAACAAATTTTTCTACGGATTCAATCGAGTAACAACGTGCACACGAAACTGACCAAGTCCGACGATGGATGACAACTGGTTGTTATTCTTTTAACGTAATATTTATTTTATGTTTTTAACTAGATTTGATCAGAACGTCAACAAATACCTGTATTTGCATTATTGCGTTATACTTGTTAAAAAATGTAAATGCCAACGTTTACCGAATATCTATTGTGTAAGTCAACAAACAACGGTAAATGGCCCTCATTATTATAATACATATTGTGTTTGTAAAAATTGTTAATATTCACCTTGAAATTGCCGCTAAACCTCAAAATTCATAGGCAACTGTCAACGTTCACTACTATTTCGTCTAAGCGCATATTATGTACATATGAAACGACATACAATCGTTTATTATTAAATTACAATAAGTTGGTATAACACGTACAACAAAATTACTATAATTATATTATTATTTATTATTATACATGTTTTATTGTTTTATTTGTAATGTGCTACCATGTCTTATTATATGATTTCAGTATTTAATCTATTAAGCATTATACTTATATTACTTGTAATCATTTTAACGAGCACATCGTTGATCACTCTTGACGAGTATTAAGAGATTAATCGAGATTAATGATTATCACTTACATCCCAGATGGACCTCTGTGAATCTCAAGTAATTATTATTTTTAATATTTTATGGGTATACATTTTATAGCCACATGTAGATAAAAAAATAATTCATTGAAGTCATGGAACGAATTAATTCACAATAACATGTTATAGGACTCATACATAAATCAGGGGTCAACATTGACTCAACAACCTATGACTCTTTAGCTTATTATCTATGGCTGTTTAGAGTACGCTTCAACATTGATATTTTTTCATTATACATATAAAATCCGATGATAGTAAAAAGTACGAAGATTCTAGTGTACAGATAGAAAATATTGAGATAATATTATTCCTCCATCGTTAGCATACATTTATACGCTTTTTTTTTTTAACTTGCCTTTGTTCGCACATTTATACGTTAAATATCCATTTTCACCATTTAAATAGTGTACAACATGGTTAGTATTTTAATATTATATCTGTACATATGATGGACTGAAACGATTGTATACGTGTTTTAATGATCACTACCATACATGATTTATGTACGTAGAAAACCAAACACAATTGGGATCTTATCTATTCGAGTACACGTTTAGATTTTTTTTCATACGATAAGTTTAAAATTTTAGACCAATAGCTAATTAAACTTAGCTTCATGTATGTAGAGCAACTTTTAGGATAGCTTTGAATTATTTCTTGAATAAATATACACTTGATGATATATGTGTACAAATACATAATATGTTTAGTGGATTATCTTTACGTAAAATTAATAGTATTATAAATAAAAATTATCAAATAGGACTAAAAGTTGATTTTTGTTTATGAAACTAATTTTAAATATATATAAAAAAAAGTAAAAATAAAAACACTGATAAAAGTCGATAAAATAAATGTTTTTAACAGAAAAGTATACACGTGTGCATGCTACACGGATAAAAATTATATATTTTATAATTTTTATTTTTTTCTACAGCGTCAAAACAGTTATTTTTTAAACTCATTGTAATTCAACATCAAAATAAATAAAAAAAAATTTAAACTCCGATTGAATTTTATTAATTATGCATGTCACAGCTGTTCACATTCAAACCGACCTACTATATCTGGGCCAAAGAATTGAAGATAAAATAATAACTGTAGAAAAATAAAGGAAATATAAGAAAAAGAACCGTATTGGTGGATGTAATTAAAGATCAATTAATACGATAATATTCAGATATTTCATCCGGCACGCAAGAAATGACACAGTAATGGTATCCATACAGATCGTAACCGCCGAAATGCGATCGGTACCGCAGGCGACGTGGACACCCTATTAGCGTTTCACCAGTAAACTGTTTGGGTGCTTTCTACTATACAATGTGATATATATATATATATATATATATATTTAAGAATAATATGACGTTCGTCAACAAAAGTTTATCATTTGACGAACGACTCGCTGTGTTTTGATGAAAAAATGACGTCTTGAATATATTAGGCGGTTGTTTTAATATAAAAATGCGTTATAGCCACTCGACGAAAGCCCCAAGACCTAATAATCGTTCACGTGTAGTGGTTTATCGTGTATTAGTGTAGTAGGTTTAATGCCGTGAGATATGTTGACAGGTCAGGGCCTAAGATTTTTTAATTTGTTGTTCTACACACTTAATTTTAAATAAAGGTTTCTAGCCTATGACATAATATTCAGTTAAGATTAAGCCCACCTTCTGAAAATTGATTTTAATGTATAATAAATGATGTACATTTTTCTAAAAAAAATGTATTTAGTAAAAACCAATTCAGTAATATTTGTTGATGTAAATAAATGCTTTTGTAACTTGAATAAACATGATATTATTATAAACTTTAAAATGCTGTAATATACCTAATTGTAAGCCCTGGAATAGATCATGTGGCAGCAAGGGTGATATTGGTTACAAGCCGTCGCAGTAACTGTCTGTATACTCAAACTTAACGTAAGTACTCGTATATTATGAAAACGTATCTTAAATCGTTGAAACACACGTGAAAATGACATTTTATTTCAGGCACGCACAATAATAGTACGATTATTTATTATGGTTGATGGAAGGAGAGGTAGAGTGAGAGAAAAAAATATACATTTGTTTATAAACAAATATCAGTTTACTAAGCAGTATCTTCTGCACCTATCTCATCCCTCACACCGGGTTCCTATCGTACACTGACGACGTAAAATCAAAATAGTGATAAAACATATTAAACATATTAATTCCCGAAGAAAATTTAATAATAATAATAATAATATTTTTTGTTAGTCTTGCCGACGACGATGTCTGCCAGCCGCTCGCTTCCTCCCCTTTCGTAATGGAAAACAAAAGGCTTCCATTACATGAAGCCATTATTACGATATTAACGCTCGTAATACATATAGTGCATTGTTGTGCGTAAAAGTTTTTGGGAGCTCCAAACTCCTTCGGCACGACGAAGTATAGGCCGCTACAGCCAATAAACCATTTTAACGTACAGGCGTTTTATGAGTATTCGTTGTATGGCCTGGAGTTAATTATTATAATAATATGTACTACCCAGATAAAATTATAATACAAAATATGCGATAGTAAGCCTTCTACTTTTGCTTGATAATGTTACTAGTGATTTCAGATCCGGTCGGAAAATTGTACACCGTGTCAATTATCGTCATTAAACGAGTACTACGATAAGCCGACAAGTCGCGATAATAGTAACAATAACGGTTCTAGTAAAATAATACGCAGCATGCAGTAAGATATACAACACACGTGTGATACAATGCGTGCGTAGAAAACGCGAGCAGCTGTTTGGTTTCATCTGTACAGCCATTACAATATTGATCGTGTACCAAAAAGAATATGATTGATTTTCTCTTTTTCGATTATGATTGAACAATTGTTCAGCGATATCCAGAGAATAAAGAAATATATAAAATATAAAGGAACCTATAAAATAATGCGATCAAAAACGACAAAGCAACAATTAAAGGCAATACTTACAGTTCTAAATTATATACTTTTACATATACCGTATTTTGAACTTATAGCCAATAAAAGTTCACCTAACCGTGTAACGTGTCATTCTTCTGAAATCTTTATCAAACTGCTATACATCTTTATACCGTTATAAACTAAAAATTTCCACGAGAATCGTTATAAGTCATTTCAATACGAAATCACAATGTACATTAATGATTATTACCGTAATGTCATAACACTATATATATATATATATATTAATCATGTTCACATCATACATACAATAAAATCGCTTTATAACAATTACAATTTTGATATGTGGGGTTCGGATGTGAGAAAATTGAAATATTTAAATTACAGCGTTCAATCTTGACAAAAAAATGTATAACGAAGAGAAAATATTAATCCACGAAAAAGAAGAAACGTTGAAATTTATTATTTCTCATTCCGGATCAGCCCATAACACTTTGGTTAAATTAGACCAATAATAAAATTCGGTTGGTAAAACCCCAGAGTTTGGAATAAAAGGGTGCGAAGAACGATTGATATAAAGACGTTTCAAATAAAAGTGGTTTTAAATCCCAAATCGTTTACATCCCTGAATTCCAGTTAGGCAAAAAAGTCCCCGGAGTCTTGAAAAAAAAAATGGAATAAGATAAGATTCGTTTTAACATGAATGCAATTTCTTTCTTGGTTTAAAGTTTAATGCCAATTTAAGCTATTGTTTTTAATTTGTTTTCTACGTATAGTTTACCAGATAAGTATCATTATTAAACTAACAGTACTAGTTTTTATTCGAATCTCTATGCATCAATGAGAACAATTTTTAACTAAATTACAGATTTTTAATATAAATGCTTTGAATAAAACCCGGAAGTTCTAATAAATGACAAATCCCACTTTGATTCTAAATATATATATAACTAACTAAATTATTCTTTTGACTTAAAGTAATTATGACTAAGAAAAGTTTTGATTTAATTGAACTAAGAATATATTAATTGAATTCGTTTTGAATTACTTGATTCTAAGTTTAAATTAGTTTCTAATTTTTTTTTATCTTAAGATGGATATTTATTTAATTTTTTTTTTTTTTTTTGAGGAAAAAAACAAAGCATAAAAATATTGAAACTTTCTACTTTGCGAGTATTCCCACTACCACATTGCGTTAAACTTTTAAAGACTTAACAACTTAAAACAGTGCATTAAAAACAATAACTCATATTTCTCTCGCTCTCCTCTCTCGCTTAGAAATGTATGATTATTTTGTGTTTCAAAACTATAAAACAAGATAATATCAAATATATCAAGAATGATTCTTTACTATTGTTCGTACAGTTATGATATGACTGTTAATAAACGTTTGTCATTGCTCGTTAAAAGACGTGTACTCTCCGAAACAAATACTTTTAAAGCTGGATAATTAAAAGAGAGTTTAATATACAGTTTAATCATTGAATCGCCCAAGCGATTTTTCAATAGAATAGTATGAAAAGAAAATACAGAACAATAAAGCGTTTTCTTTTTTTTAACAATTTTAATGAACGATTGTCATGGTTTATCGTTATACCATTATGGGGTCGCGAAGCTGATATTTTTTCACGTGACTGGTTTCATGTTTTTTACAATACATTATTTAATTATTTATTTATTTTTTTTTTTTTTTTGCCACGTTATTTACTTATTTACACATATTATCTTAACATCAAGTGGTTAATATTTCACAACTCACCTATTCCAGCAGCAACGGATATTATAACGACCGACAGCGTAGTCGCATACCATGTCACTTGTGTTTTCGTCATTGGTGAACCGGAACGATCGCACGGGTCTCGTCGAGCTTTACGGATATTTCCACGATTTCCTCAGTTGTTTATTTACGTTGATTACGTCGTATTCGTACGGGTATGCATATGTCCGTGTGAATTTTTTCCTTATATTTTCGGGTTTCCGAGTATGGCACGCATATTCTTAACGTGACTGGGAGAAAACAATTCAAAATCAATTACGGTACCGCACGATCTAAACTACTGACAGTGGTTGTTTTTATTATGTCAAGAGCATAAGCAGAGCGACGAAAAAATAAAATAAAATAATTTCGAAACACGTATAGGTACGGGAATAATACGTTCGGTCGGACGTTTCGCGTGTGGGAAACAAAAAAGTTCACGAAGGGTCCGGGCGTAGAGGCGGCGCACTTGGAACTCACACGCGTTTCTAGGGACAGCGGCCAACGGGACTAGCGACAGTAGTAGGAACCGCCATCTGACGGCTGACGATAAGCGTTACTCGTGGCGACGAAAACCTTGTGCGTTCGTATTATACTCGAGTATAAACGTACGGCGGTGACGGTTTGTTGCTTTATTTCTGTTTTTTTGATCTTTTATCTGAATTACGACTACCGTTGTTTTTATTATTTTTGTTTTATACTTTTTATTTATGGTGGTTAAATATTAGCTGACCCGTTAGCGCAAGGGATGTATCGACTTGTCTTGGAATGACAGTGTGATTTTCCGCTAATGGCTAGACGTTTTTTTTCGCACCAATAAAACCATGTATGAAAAGGAAAAAACAGTTCTAAAAGGAAATATAAATTATGTTTCTAATATTCTGAAATGTTAATATTTTTATTTTTCCTTCGTTTGATATTCTCTAGTTCTCTAACTTAATTATTTTATCATCCTAATGCAATACCATTTTCCTCTTCCGGAGACGTATGATTAAGATTTGGTTTACTTTAATTTTTCATATATTATTATTCAACGTTTTGATCACAACGTCACGAATTTAATCCTGTCATGAGGCTTTAAATAAATAATATATTTCATTAATTTCCCTTACCATTTGTACCAATAATTATTCATTGGTTTCAATCAATTTTAAATCAGTTCAGTCAGTTCTTTTTTTAAAACACACATCTATTGTAATACGTACAATTTTCAATGGGGAATATTATTTTATACAATCTCGCTAAATCGTCTTTATCAAAATTTTACATTTGTTTATATTTAAATATTGAAACTATGTTGCCAAAGTAGTACAAATTAATACTTTTTTATTACCGATCACCGATATCTTGTGATTTATTTGTGGAGTTTTGTCCTTTTTTACTCCAAAAAATTCTTCAAGCGTCATGTTGGTAAATTGAAAGAACAAACTTTTTATTTTTTATTTATTCTCATATATTTTCCCCTTTTCATCAGAATTTTATTGCTATTATTAAACTCAAAAGTGTGTATATCATAACGTACGTACATTTATTATATGAAATACAATATTCTGTAGTTAAAAACCAAAATTTCAGGGTAATATGGTTTACTATGTATGATGATTCGTTTATAGTTTACCCTCTTAAGTTATTCTCTTAAATATTTAATAAATATTAAACCATTACTTCCTAGAAATAAACGTATAACATATAATATGTGAATGAACTGTAAATATACAATTAAAAACATTACAAAAGTGTAGAGAGTATAAAAATAATTGTTTTGAACTAATTAACTACCTGAATCTGTTATTATCTGTTATTATTATTAAGTTATAGAGGGATATTAAGACAAAAAACATTCAATGGAAATATTAAAATGCTTAGTTAACATATTTGTTTTAATTAATTAAAAAAATTAATTAATTAATTAATTGATTAATTATTTTTTTTTTATATTTATATTATAATTATACACTTATATATAAATATACGAGTATAAGATATAAACCAAAATAAAAGCACTGTTCGATATTGTCCGTTTTATAAAATTTAGCAGACATAAGAAATTATATTTATATGTTCGACTATATCATACATTAAAAATCGATAAAACAATATATTATTAAAAATAATATTGTCTCTAAAATTGAAAAAGTCAGAAGTTAATGATTATTTATTTACATAAATTAACAATGGCTTTGATGGCTATAATGTACAGACATTGTTTACACATTAAATATTATCTAATAAAGTTATATTACTAAGTATGTAATTTATTACGAGTATTACATGTATGTTACGGATATACTAAAGGGTGTCATCCACTAAGGTAGTATAGAATAACCGAATAACGACGTAAAATATTGTCTGTTTTCAGGTTTTGATGTAGAAACTTGGTATAAAACACAAAAGATACACTCCCAAATTTGTGTATATACTGTAACCTTACATCGAAAATCAGTAGTTTGTTTGATAAATGCACTGTAAAATTAAAGACAGCAATCTTAATTAAACTGAAAACCTAGACTATCATAAAGTTAATAGTCATACACAAATAGCAGTAAAAAAACTAAACTTGCATTACGTCAACATTCTGTAACAGCGAAAAATAATTAAAAATGTATTACATACAGTAAAAGACATTTGAAAAATATTTAAATATATATCCATTCGTTTACGGAGTGAAAAAATATTCGATTACATTTTAAAGATAATTTTGTCAATACACTGTTCTACCGAAAACTTTCATACTTCTTATTTTATTTTAAACATTTTTAAAATTGGATCTTCAACTGTATGATTGATTTGTAATGAATATGTAATTATGTATATTTATTATATACTTCTATGTAAAGGTTAAATTGGTAATACAAAATTCATTGAAATGTTGTGAACTAACCTAATGAAATTTTGAGAACATCAATAATTTATATTAATACTCCATTAGTACTAAAGCTTCTTTGATATTTATATGTCAATTAATGTATTCGTTTAAGTTGACTTTACATAATTTACCTAATGTCAACATTGTTAGTATTGATCATTGAATTTGAATTATACCCAACATTTTGACTTGATGTAAATCTAATAAATTAAAATGTTTTTTTTATATATCATATTATAATAATATAGTTTTGATTTTTAATACTGTTAATGTAACAAATATACAAATATCGAAAATAATTAAAGAAATATACCAAAATGTAGTATTAGATTAGTATATCATCATTAATAATACAAGTTTTTAAAACATTATACATAAAAGTACATATTAATACATACATTTATGAATTAAAAATTAAAAAAATATTTGATATTATTAATAATGTTATAAATTTCTCCTACTGACAATAGACTTTTAACTATAAGTTTAACTATACTATATTGAAAGCCACAAATCAAATTTTATTGTTAAACTTTAAAAAAATTATCTTAAATTTCAAAACGTATTGTTAATCTATTTACTCGTATTACTGTTTCCATATTATATAAATTTATAAAGTTGAACTATCTATCAGTTTTAAATTATTTTATTGTATTGGAAATGTTAATTTTTATTAAACATATGAGAATATGATTTTTTTCGGATTTGTTTGATAAAGTAAAAAAGTTCGAATAAATGCCCATAAATTCAGTATATAGATGACATTTTCGAATGATATATACAACCATTAATGTTAAGTAAATTTCTTTTATATTTTTAAAACTAATAATATTTTCTTTGGGAAAAAATACAACATAATAGCAATATAGTTAAATATATTTTTAATACTAATTATAAATATATACATTTGAAACTAGTTAAACTAGTAGATAATTATTTTTATAAGAAGAGCTTTAGTATAAATCATAACACCCAACATTAGGTTTTAATAAATATAATCATTACAACAAAACAACAATATAATTATTATATATTAAAATATAAATTATTAATGACTTATAAAAATTATAAATACATAGGTACACCAAAATCTTAACAAGAATATAGTAGATTATCTAATACTTGTATAGCTACTTGTTATCAAGGTTTAGGTTACGCATTTTACACAAAATAAAATTTAAAAACTTCAATACTTATATGTTTTAGTTAAATATATATTTGTTTATAATTATATATTTATAATTTTAAATTTGATAATTTAATTGTATAAATATTTAATTATTGCTAACAATGTAATAAACAATTCTTCTTCCATGGCGAGTTTACTCTTTGAGAGTTTTGGCTAAAACCACAACATCTCGCAATCAGTCCCTGTTATATACTGTATCTTTCCAGTTCTCAATATTCATCCTCACCAAATCTTTTTTTACTCCATCCAGCCACTTTTTTCTTGGTTTTCTTGGTGGCTTTGTTCCATGAGATACCCATGGGCCATCAAGGACCGCTCTTGGTGGTTCATTTTCTTGAAGATACATAATTTGTCCATGCTATCATCTGTCCTCTGTTAAAGTTAGTTATCGTTTCTAATTTCAACATATTCTATACTTCTCTGTTGTATTTCATTAACCAATCTACCGTGCAGATATCTAATATAGGTCGACAATTTTTTCTCCATGCATTAATTTCAAATGTTCTCAGCTTTCTTTCCATTGTGCTAGTTGTTGTTCATGCCTCACTTTTGTACTTTGGGGTTATAGCCACATATAGCTCGGCATTTGTTCTTCTCGGAAACTTTTTAAATGTTAGAAATTTCGTAAGAACGTAGAATGTTTTTTTAGCTTTTTTCAAGCAGATATCCCTTTTTTTACCAGTCGAACAATTAATGTTTATAAATTTATTACTAAAATATTATATAAAATATTTTTTTTAAGTAGTCTTGATCATATTTTTTGATAAATCAAAAAGATATTGATTATATGATTATATGATTTTATTTTTCACCTATACATTTATTTAATATTTATACAAATTATCTTTCAGTGCAGTAAAAATCTCACGAACTTTAATATTTTTTTAATAATTGACAATCAATTGAAAATATAGTACTAGACATTGTACCTTAAAGTTGCAAAATTTTTAAAAACCTAAAAAGCTAGTATAATAATGTTGCTAAACACATTTCTTTACAGAATTGGATCTTTTTTGTGTAAGCCAAACTTTGCTAAAAATGATTTATAGTACTATTTATAAGTTTAAATTAATAAAACTTTGCTCTTATACACCATAGAGAATAAAATGATATGAGTGTCTGTATCTCAATTTCTTTCAAATTAAAATGTATAAGATTTGCATTAAAGTTTTGAAAAAAATTTGATTAAAAGGTTAAAAATATACTGAGTGTCCCAGGATGATTCGACAAATTCAATAACTGTTGTTGTGTTTATTATTTTTAATTTATATATATACTTATGTCCTGCGCTACAACAAAATTACATTAAAAGTATTTTGATTTTTAGAGTTAAAATTTGAAAATTTATAATTTTATTCTAGAATTTGACAAAAAATCCAAAATTACTATTGAGTAAATCGGATTTTTAAAAATTGGGGTCAGATCCATGGGAGGGGTATTTAA